ATGCAGAAATGAAATGCTTAGCTTTGCCTTTCTTGGGGGCGTGGACCCTGCCAGAAATGTAATTATGCTCAAGTGCATTAATTGAAGGCACTGTGCACGCCGTTGGACTGCTGACCATAGTTATGTTCCCTACTGGTCACGGCACATTCATAATCACTGTATTTTTTTGACCCTGATAAAAAAAAAAATATTTTAATGGTGTTCTGGTACTGTAAATGGTGTCCTTTAAATTATTTAATAACTTTTGGGTATGGGGCAGGCAGAGAGGGATGGTGTCCAGAGACACAACCACACTTTACACCCTATCTTACTCTCCCCTATCTTCTTACCCTGCCTACATCCTTTTTGTTAAAAATAAAAAAAGAAAGCATTGCGTATCTTGGCTTATGTGGCATTTTTTTAAAAGATTAAAAACATGCAGCACTTAGAAACTTTACAAATATTACCTAATCAAGTTTCATTGTTCCTTAAAAAAAAGGAATAAACCACCAGGTGTCAGGGCTCACGCCTGTAATCCTAGCATCTCAGAAGGCTGAGATGTGAGGATCATGGTTCAAAGCCAGCCCAGGCAGAAAAGTCCCTGTGAGACTCTTACCTCAAATTAACCACTCAAAAACTGGAAGTGGTGCTGTGGCTCAAGTGGTAGAGCACTAGCACAAAGAAGCTCAGGGACAGCGCCCAGACCCTGATCAAGCCCTACAAGTGACACACACACAAAAGGACTCAACCAGGTATGGTGGCTCATAGTTGAAGCCAGCCTGAGCAGAGAAATCTGAGAGATTCTTCAGGTATCCAGCAAAAAGCCAAAATGGACTATGATACAAGTGGTAGAGCGTGAAAAAGCTTGTAAGCAAGAAGAGTTTGAGGCCCTGAGTTCAAGCCCCAGTGTCAGCACCAAAAAAGAGACTCACGAGACAGACCCTTCAAATAGTTGCAATTGGCTTTTTGAATTTATAGACCACGAATTTACTAATATAACAAAAACGAATACACTTGCAAGATACAAATTCATTAGGCTGCCTTCTTTTACAATTGGATCTTCCTCATCTATTGTTCCTCTAAATCTGAAGTTTTGCCCAATGTTTAACATTACTTAAAGCCTAGTTTTGCCACACATAACTTTTTAAATAAGTTCACTAAACTTATTTCTAGAGAGTAAATGAAATAGCAAAGGAAGAGATAAAGGACTTTTGCACAATTTAGAAGATAGTTTCTATTATCTACAACTTACCTTTAATTGAAGAAATACTGAAATACTGAAAATACTCATCATAACCAGAAGAGCTCCCTGCTAATGTCACACCAACACCATCTCCATGAAAGAAAGTAGCTGGGCGCCCTTGGCTCAGGTTTATAATCTAATCCTAGCTACTCAGGAGGCTGGGATCTGAGAACAGCCATTCAAAGCTAGCCTGGGCAGGAAAGACCATGACACTCTTTATCTCCAATTAACCACCAGAAAACCGGAAGTGGCTCTGGGGTTCAAATAGTGGAGTGCTCACCTTGAGCTGAAGAGCTCAGGGACAGCACTGAGGCCCAGAGTTCAAGCTCCACAACCAACAAAGAAAAAGAAATTACAGCGGCTGGGAAGGTGGCTCAGTGGTAGAGCACTTGCTTTGTATGCATGAGGGCCCTGGGTTTGATTCCTCACCACCATATCAGCAGAAAAAGCCAGAAGTGGTGCTGTGGCTCAAGTGGTAGAGTGCTAGCCTTGAGCTGAAGAGCTGAGGGACAGTGCCCAGCCCCAGAGTTCAGGCCCCACAACCAACAATAACAACAATAAAAAATTACACCAGATTTATATTCTAGAGAAAATGTAGGAAATAAGAAAATTGTCATCCCATCCCGTGGCACCAGGGAGAATATTTCAGAGTCTAGCCTCTCAATGTTTTTAAAAATCTCCTCCCATGTAAACTGTGGACTATGTGTATGAGCAGAGTCTTCTTGTTAGGATGTTGCTGTCATAACTCAGGAGCAAAAGATGTTTTGATTTGATACTACTTTAGTAACTAAATACCTACTCACCCTAACTAAAACAGTCTGAGCCTTGTTTTCCTCAGTAACACAGAACTAGTTGCCTTGTTAGACAAAGCAGCAAAAAAAAAAAATTAGACTAATGTAACTTCCCATCTTAATAGAATGTCTTAAAAACCTACTTGCAGCTGGGCGTTGGTGGCCTGTAATTCTAACTACTCAGGAGGCTGAGATCTGAGGATTGTGGTTTGAAGCCAGTCCAGCCAGGAAAGGCCTTGAGACTCTATCTAGTTAACCACCTAAGAACCAGAAGTGGAGCTGTGGCTCAAAGTGGAAGAGTGCTAGCCTTGAGCAAAAAAATGCTCAGGAATAGCACCCAGGGCCCTGAATTCAAACCCCACTACCCACCATACATTATATATATACATATATATGGTATATATAATATATAAATGCAGCAAGTCTCTAAACAGAACAAGTGAAAACACCTGCTTTTATGCACATCTCCCAATTTATCTAGACCCTGAAAGTTAGCTTGTCTATTTTTTTGGGGGGGATCATGGGGCTTGAACTCTGGCCTGGGTACTGTCCCTTAGCTCTTCAGCTCAAGGCTAGCACTCTACCACTTGAGCCACAGCGCCACTTCCAGCTTTTTCTGTTTATGTGGTGCTGAGGAATCAAACCCAGGCCCTCATGCATGTGAGGCAAGTATTCTACTACTAAGCCACCTTCCCAGCCCTGATTATTCCTTTTTAAAAGTGATCTGTCACCATGTCCTACCACCTTTCACCATTGAAACCTTTTTGTGGGTTCTCACTGATAAAGACCATCCTGAGATGGCCTGAATTGTCCTCTCAGTCTGGTCTTGCCAGTACTACCTGCTGTCTTGTCCTCAGTGTAGTAGTCTACACTGCACTCCAGCCTTGTTCTGCTCTCTGCCACAGGTCTTCGCATGTTACCAAAGCACGAAAAAGTTTTTCTGCCTAACTGCCTGCAAAGTGTCCTCAGCTGAAGTGTCAAATCTTTAGGTAGGCCTTCTCTGTTCTAGACATTTTGGTAGAACTTAAGATTCCAGAACCTGGTTTACATTAACATAGGAAGCAAGCCATTGCTTGCTTGCTTCCTCTTAGGAAGCTAAGGGTGGAGGCCACAGTAGACTTGTTCTCCATACTCAGCACAATGCTGGCAAGCTTCACCACACCCCAAAGTGACTCCATTGGGCCAAGAGCATAGATGGGCCTTCCCAATCAATATAAGGATTCTAGACAGGCCTCAGATCACTTTAGGTCTTACCCCTCTGACTCATACTGGCAGCACCTGAGATGTTAGATTAATATCTACCTATATGGTCATGATCGAACTCACAGCTTGGGTGCTGTTCCTGAGCTCTTTTGTTCAAGCCTAGTGTTCTAACACTTTGAGCCACAGCGCCACTTCTGGTTTTCTGGTGGTTAATTGGAGATCAAGTCTCATGAATTATTCTGCCTAGACTGGCTTTGAGCTGCAACCCTCATATCTCAGCCTCCTGAGTAGCTAAGATTCAAGCGTGAACCACTGGTGCCTGGCCTCATTTTCAAGTAACTGAATGTTCAGAAAGTTTAATGGAGGCATAATTAGCAACTAGTCCAATTGTGACATATTTGTAATTAGACCAGTGAGATCTCAGCATTTCCATGGGGATCATTTGGGGAATCTGTTAGATGCATTATAGCAAGAATCCTGAGTTCTGGCTACAGCTCAATAAAACAAAGGGAAAAGCCTGTGTCTCTCCACTGTCTTTAGGTGGTCTCTTTGGGGGAGAGGGGCACTACTAAGATTTGAATTTAGGGCTGTCCACTTGCATGGCTTGTTTCACTTGACTGGCACTCTGCCATTTAAGCCATGACTCCAGATTGGTCATTTTGGAAACAGACTCTTGAAGACTTTTCTGCCCAGACTGGCCCTGAACTTAGATACTCCAGGTCTCAGGCTCCTGAGTGGCATGACCCACCAAGCTCCTAGCTCTTGATTTTTGAGACAAGGTCTCTCCTATATGATAGCCTCAAACTTCTTGCCTCAGCCTCCCCAGTGCTGGGATTAAAGGTGTGTACTATCATGCCAAAAAATTTTTTGTGGGGAGGACCGGGGTGCTAGTACTAGGGCTTAAACTCGGGGCCTCTTTTTTTCTCAAGGCTGGTGCTCAATCACTTGAGCAACATCTTTACTTTTGGCTTTCTGGTAATTAGTTGGAGATGATTTGCCTGCCAGGGCTGATTTCAAATTTCAGTCCTCAGATCTCAGCCTCTTAAGTAGCTAGGATTATAGGTATGAACCATCAATACCTGGCTATTATAGCTCAATGGTACAGCCCTTTCCTAGAATACTTGAGACTGTAAATTCAGTCTCTAGCACCACACAAAAAAAAAATTACCACCCAGAGTCCACTTGAATTTTGTTATTCACCTTCTTAAAGAAGCTGCTCATAAACAGCCACCTATTCAAGCCTCATTTGTAACACCAGTCAGTCCAACAAGATCCCTCAGCAGTTGGCCGGTGCATGGAAACACATCCACCTCCACCTCCTCCCCTGTGTGCCCTGGTGACCCCCATGGCCTCACACATCAAGGCTGTACCTGGACTTCCCCAAAAGACCGCTCTCATGGCCAAAAGATCTTTAATTCAATACGCATCTTTCTTAGAAGCTTCAGCTCTGTCTGTAGCCCCACGCAGTACCTCTCATGTGGATGAACCTCTATCAATAGTTTCTTAAGTGCCTGCAAACCTGGCTACCACAGACTAGCCTGTGCCATCAAAAGACAATAACAAAGTCAAGGTGACTGTCAGTAGCACAAGCTCTCCTTAAACCTTGACACAAATTGCATCCAAATCTTTAGGATTGTTTTTGCAGCATTTTTTATTTGCAGGCTCTGTCCAAATATACTGCCTTTCACAAAGGATTTTGAGAAGGGATGGTGGCAAGAAAGGAGAGACAGAAAAAGCTTGTCTGTTCCACTTGACACATTAGGCAGGACCATTTTTCACATCCGTTAAATGATGTATTTGAAGCTGAAGGTGCTGTCGCAGGAGAGGCGCTTGCCCTTGCATCTCCCACACAAGTCTTGACGGTGGGGGCGTTTAGGGTCCACATGGCGAAGTCTTACTGGGCAGGAACATCTAGTTCTTTGACAACTCTGAAAAATCAGTGTGAAAAGTACATAGAAAAGATGAACCTTAGGACTTCAGAGTGACTTGTCTACTCCAAACACTTCCTGAGTGCTATCTAAGGCAGGTGCCTGGGTTTGGCATCACTACATACATCCTACCTAGCAATGGGAGTAGGGGGAAGAGGCTCTCTGTGGCAGCAGGTTTGATTCTTAACTAGGAACTTGTTTCACAAGAAACTTAACAAGTTTCACTCTGCTTTTGAGGGTGAGGAAGAAAATAAGTAGGGGATGCACTTGTCACTGAAAGCCTAATACAACTAGGATTTGCAAGAACAGAAGCCCTTAGAAAACACATTCGAGAAAATGCGAAACATCCTCCACTACCCAGTTCAGACAAAAACCGTAAACAACTTACTTGGCAGGTGATGTCTTCCACCCGGTAAGGGTTGTAAGACTTCTGACAAGTTCTGCAGAACTGTTTGAAGTAAACCTGTGATGAGAAACAGATACACTTAAAGTCAAAGCCCTGCAAACCTTTGGGCAGGAAGATGCCAGGCCCGGGCAAAGTCCCTTACCTTGCTGGTGCCCTGCACACACCACACGTACGCGCTCTCCCAGCGGATGTTGCAGTCCTTGCAGTGGTAGTAGCCATACTTCTGCTCTAAGAACTGAACAACAGGATAGCAGAGTTCAGCCAACACACACCTGAGAACCTTTCAGAGCTTGGAAGGTTCTAGGTGATCCTTAAAATTGGCGACTTCATTTCACATCATGGAGGAAAGTGGGACAAGGTGTGGGGAAGTCTCCAAAATCTAGTGAGCTAATAATAGTCAAATAGGGCCCTCAAAACAGATTATACGCCAGGTGAATTTGACTCACTAGGCAGGTGAAAAAATAAAAAACATTCAGGGTTCTTGGAAACTTCTAGTTCTTTGAGGAGGCCTTTGCTCAGTAGGATAATGCCTGATCTTTAAACATTCACAGATGAGAGTTGCTATGCTAAAAAAGGCTCCATCTCTCTGATACTTTATAAGATGTTTATCTGCAAAGATGAATTTCTCTAGGCTGAATTCAGTTTCCATCAAAAAGTCCTGCCACATATCTGTAAGCAAAAGTTCATTTAACTAGGAACTATGGTAGAACATTCCGTTATTCTTAAGCTTTCCCTTATCCCATCGGATGAGAGATGACCTTTAAGATTCAGGCCTAAGAATTTTTTAATTGTTTTTAAGTGGATTAAATTTAAAGCAAGGCAAAGCGAGGTGTGGTGGCAAACCCCAGCACTTTGGGAAGCCGCTAGATCAGTCTGGAGGACGTAGTGAGATCTTTTCAACAACAATAATAACCGCCAAGGCATTTTTCTACGGGAGTTCTAGCAGTCCTGTGACATCGCTGAGGGATGCCACATTTAGTGGGGACATGGGAACAGAGTTCACCCTGGGCCCTATGCTGTGTGTGGATCTCAGCTTATCTGAACGCTGGTCCACACTGGAGCCCGGTGCTCACGTGCGAATCCTTGGCGTATGGGGGTGACCAGGTCAGAGTGGCGGCCAGTAAGAGTCCACTACTGGGAAAAGATGGCCTTGGCCTCAGCCAACGTCTGCGAAATCCCAGGCCGGCCTGGCCATCTCCACGTGTCCCTGAGATGTGGGGCCGAGCGCAAGAGGAGACCCCATCCCAGAGCCCACCTGGGCCTCACCTGGAAAGGCAGGCGCTCGGCGCCTAGCTCTGTGCTCCACGTCGGGGGCCGCTCCAGCCCGGCAGCCTCCTGGGCGCTGACCCCGGGGTCCCCGTCCCTCGCCGCCGCTGCTGCTGGGCGCAGCTGCCGATGCTGAGGCGCGGGCTTCGGGGCCGCCGCGTCCTCCCCGGATTCCACGGGCGGCCGGGGCCCGTCCACGGCCGCCTCCTCCCCCTCCGCCTCGTCCTCCTCCGCCCGCGGCGGTCCGGGCGTCCTCCCCGCCGTCTCTCCCTCCTGCTTTCGCGCTCGGGGGCTCGCGGGCTGCGGGCCTCGCTCGGCCTCCAGGAAGGCGGTGAGGCGGCGGGGGACCGGCGAGAACACCGCGACGGTGCGCGGAAAGCGCGCGAGCCGCGGGCCACGCCCCGCAAGGCTGCCGGGCTCCGGGCCGGGGCTCCCGCGCTGCGGGGAGGCGCCGGGGCCGCGCTGGGGCTCGGGCGGCGGGGAGGCGCCGGGGCCCGGGCGCGCGGGCGGCGGGTCGGGCGCGGGCTGGGAGTCCGGGGCGCGGGGGCGGCGCGGCAGCGGGCGGCGGCCGAGCGAGCACTGCACCGCGGCGTCCCGGCGCGGGTTCACCTGCACCGCCACCTCGCGGCTGCCGACCCCGCACGGCCGCGCCCCGACGCCCGCGCTCACCCGCGACAGCAGCGCCAGGAGCAGCGCCCGCCGGTAGCCGTCGAGGGAGTCGGCGGCCTGGGGCTGCGCGCAGCCGGGGAACGACGACGCGCCGGCGGCCGCAGCGCCGGCCGAGGCCGAGGAGCCCCCGGCGCGGAGCCTGCAGCCGGCGGCGGCGGCCGTGGCCTTGCCCCGAGCGGAGAGCGGGCCGGGGACGGGGTACGCGCAGGGGGCGCACGCCGGGTGCATGTTCCGGCCCAGCACCTGGGCCCCCAAGGCCGCCATACACGCAGCCCAGCTGCTCCCGCGCCCGCGCCCTAAATAGGCGGCCCGGAGGAGGCGGGAACACCCCGGCCAATGCCGCCCTGCCGCCCCCTCCATCGTGTCCCACACCTTCCCGTCTCAGGAAACCCTCTCCACACGGGGCTGGGCGCGAGAACCCTAAGGGGATGCACAACCTGGGCTGGCGCTGCCAGGAAAAGTAGCGATGTGTTCATGACCTCGTGGATGTGAGGACGCTCACCCGAGAAGGAGCACGGGGAGCCCAGCCAGGTGGTCCCCATCCCCAGGTGGTCCCCATCCCCAGGTGGTCCCCATCCCCAGGTGGTCCCCATCCCTAGGTGGTCCCCATCCCCAGGTGGTCCCCATGTGTCTGTGCCGCCCGCCGGCCCGGGAAGGCCCAGCGCCCAGGGCCTAGGGCTCCTGAGCAAAATGCCAAGGATTGGAAACTGGCTTAAGGCTGATGACCTGTTCTCAGGGCAAATTCAGTTCCTTTCCCCCATCCCCAGCCCTTTCTCGATGTGTTGAGATGCACACTGGGGCACCTCTTAATCAGGCTGTCTTCCTCTTGGGGTACCTCGCCCCCCACATCTTCCCGGCCCATGGGAAGTACCAGTTTGCCCTGACCGAACACCCTTCTTCCAAAAGATGCCCTGTCTTGGGATGTGCTTACATAAACACAGAAGGGGGAAAGAACAGCTTTTATCCACTAGAAAGATGTTAAGTGGTTCATTACCAATAAATGTCAGATCAAGTCATCAAATACATGGTCATTTTCTGACAGGATACTGGCTTGACAATAACAGACTATATTTCACTGTTTTGTTGACCCCTTCTGGACTTTGCTAAACACGAGTCAAAATTCAATACTGTCAGGTATTTACAAGTTGAGCAAGCAACACTTTGTTTTACAATTGCATTAAATTCATTTACGCTTTACAAAGATCGCTCATTTTACTCACAGGATGCACCAAAATCCTACACTTCCAACCCCTGTTTTTCAAATGCTGTTATCTCTAGCTGCAAAACATTCAGAGAAAATGGGAGTGGAGAAAACCTAAAGTCACAGGTAACCAGATGAGGCTCCAATTTAGGTGATCCAGGTGGATGACATATTAGAACAGTGATTTGTAATTTATGAGGACACTTGGTTACTATGCCACTGCAACTTTACAATGGGAAGATCAAAATTGTTAATGGAAGGGGAGCGAATTGTTACCCTTTCTGTAAACATACGCCTACCACAGGCCATAAATATGAATATATCCTCAAGACAGGCGCTCCTCTGCATCTCCATGTTCAGAGCGAAGTCTGGGTGGTTTCCATCATTATTAAGTTATCTGCTTGCACTGTGCCATAGGAAGTGTCTGCCATCTCCTCTTCTTTTAGTTTCTTATAAGAAATATCTGTATCTTCATCTTCATCTAGAGGCTCTCTCTTGTGCAATATCTCACTTCCATACATCTTGTATATTAAAACGAATATCCCTGCTTCCGCAGACTGGAAAAGGGCATAAAGTAAGGGAAACATGTACATACTTCCTATGAAGCGTGGGGGGAAGGCCAGTTTGAGAATGGCTGTACAGAGCTGCACATTCTGACTTCCTGTTTCCAGACAAACAGTCCTCTTGCAGTTGGGTGGGAGCTGGAATAGAGTAGCTAAGCCATAGCCTGAGGCATATCCTGCCAAGGGCATAAAGATGGCTACCACATAAACAGATGCAGGAATACTTGCCAGCAGTTCTGGTCCTAACATAGTGCCCGTCATTATGAAAAGGACCACCAGAGTCACCAGCAGAGACCACAGGGAAATCTGGTAACAGAAACGCACAGACAAGCCATCAGCAAGGAGATCACTGAAGAGGAGGAACTCAGGCAGGAGGTTCCTAGGCTCTCGGCAGGGGACACCCATCGAGTCTGACCTCCCGCACAAAATGGAGACCTTTGATGGAGATAGGTCACTGCTTCAGGAGGCATCCAAATCCACGCAGGACAACTCTACTTGTTCCTGTGTCTAATGGTAATTTGCCTTCTCTAACCTCTGGCTGGTGCTCTTATGGGCCCTGGGGGCAATAGAAAGCCAGTCTAATTCCTTCTGAAAAACAGTCTTTGAAAGCTGATAAAATAGTGCTCTGGAAGACTGTCCCCAGCTTCTCAGCCTCCATTATGAATCTTCATTGTTGTGTCCTGACTGTTCAGTATGTGTGTTTAATTTGTGAGTGGGCCTCACAAAAATAGAACTGAGCTCAACACCCTCAGGGATGCGAGGAATTCTTTGCAATGTTACAACACCCCTCCTTTTCATTTGTTCATGAGAAATATCCCATCTGGAAGTTCCTAATGATGGTTGGGAATTATTAAAACAGATGGGTATTGGTACTATTTGACTATAAAACACATCATGTTGTTGTTCTAACATCTATTCAAGTAGGACAAGTTGTGTAAATAGCAAGGTAGAAATCTAAAAGGTCTCCTTCAGATTGGTAATCACCTTGGCTTTTTATCATGAGAGTAGGGTGATCCAGAGTGAACAGATATAGGATTTTGGCCTGTGTTTCTCTGGATACGTAGGGAATCCTTTTGGAGACTGTAGGATTAGCAGATCAGTATCTGGGCTCATCAAAAATTTGATGTAAAAGATGCTAAAATAATTATTCTATGAGGTATTCATAATACACATTTGCAACTGGCAAATACCAAGCTATTGCAGATCCCAACTTAAATTAAAGTGTGTCATGCTGAAAACATTGACAGGAAATCTGATATTCGAAAATATTGGCTCCAAAGTTCCTTAAAACAATGAAATTACTTGAGTGAGGAGATCAAATGTGCATTTAGAAGTTTTGGAAAAACTGTAACAAATTCTAAAACCCATGTCTTAAGAGTGTGCTAATGAAAGAATACAGATATTGGAGAGATAGCCAATTTTATTGAATTGTCTCTATTATTTCAAATAATAGCTTATTTGATAGACTTTCTTTTGCAATTCCTATTGTTTTATAGTCAATGCCATTGCATTGCAGCTTAATGATTAGGCTTAGTAAATTCTGAATGCATCTCAAGATTATCTACAGGATCTTGTAGAAAATGTGTAAAAATATGTGCATATTTATATGCTTGTACATATTTATTACACGAACATATACATGTTTATTATGGAGCAGGGTTTCCTTTTTTCTTCTTCAGGATTTCTTTTACTCATTTTTAACCTGTGTAGAGAGCAGAGGCTTCTTTTTTCACATTCATAAAGTCTGGCTCCTCTGTATAATCAGAGTATTTCAGAAAATAGGCTAATCTAAGTAACACACCAAAGATTCTACCTTCTTAAGTCTGCAAACTTGAAGTGCTGAGGGGGCTTTTCTCCTCATTTGTCTACAAGAATTTGGCTTTATAGTTTATGGTAACTATAGATTTTTATCTGGTGAACTTCCTAGGTGTGTCTTACTCTTTCGCATTATTTTTTAGTTTTCAAAGAAGTCTAATTTGCGAGTATTTTATTTTTTTCTCCAGGCAACTATTAGAAAATGTCTACCACCACAAAAAAAAACCCACCAGTGTTTTAAATAAAACAATATTGGAAATATTGCCCACTTGAAAATAGTACTGTTTGAAAGTACTGCTAAAATAAAAGAACCCACACTACCATGACCATTAGAAATCATAGAAGAGGGCTGAGAATGTGGCTTAGTGGTAGAGTGCTTACCTAGCATGCATGAAGCCCTGGGTTCGATTCCTCAGTACCACATAGACAGAAAAAGCCAGAAGTGGTGCTGTGGCTCAAGTGGTAGAGTGCTAGCCTTGAACAAAAGAAGCTCAGGGACAGTGCCTAGGCCTTGAGTTCAAGCCCCAGGACTGGCAAAAAAAAAAAAAAAAAAAAAAAAAAAAGTCATAGAAGAGAGCACAATGGGGAAGGAAAATGAAACACAAATTAAGTAGTGGCAAAATCATCTACTTTATCCGGGATCCCATTTCTTTTATGTTGCAGAACTAGTATTTTCTGCATTGTATTATGTTGACCCAATATAATTTTTCAGTGTCTTAATCTGAGCAGTTCTAACTTATTTTTCTTTTAAAAACTGATAAAGTATTTTAAAAGCACAAGGTTTTTCAGAGCTAGGTTTCTACTTTTGAAAATGTAGTAAAACCATTCTAAAAGAATGAACATCTTGGGGCTGGGAAGGTGGCTCAGTAGTAGAGCGCTTGCCTTGCATGCATGAGGCCCTGGGTTCGATTCCTCAGCAAAAAGAAAAAAGCTGGAAGTGGCACTGTGGCTCAAGTGGTAGAGCACTAGCCTTGAGCTGAAGAGCTGAGGGACAGAGCCCAGGCCCAGAGTTCAGGCCCCACGACTGGACCCAAAAAAAAAAAGAATGTACATCTTTATCTAAATAATCTTCTTTAATCTGCCTCAATTTTAAATACTATAGATTACATGGGAAAACACTGCAATGTCATCTGCACACACACACACGCACACACACCATGGCCTGCTTTCTCCCTAGAGTTATGCTGTGATGCTGTTTTCAATCAAGCTGTATCTTTGGAGGGTTCTTGATAAGTAGCCCTGGCTGGTCTCAAGGCAGAGCCTCCTGCCTCAGCCTAAGACTGCTGGGATTATAGGATGAACAAGGACACCCTGCTTAAACTAGATCCTAAATAGAGCTATCATGGGAGGATTTCCAAAAAGTAGATATTAATGTTGGTCGCATAAACTTGTTTCGAAGTGTATGCATGCATACATGTTTTGCCAAGCCCTTTCCAGCCTTGGTACCATTTCAGCAGATGGGCGGAGCCCAGAGAGGCCAGGTGACCCTGGAAAGGAAGGGGCGCCTTACCTTCACGATGTAGTCAGCCACGCGGTTGTACTTGTAGCGGATGAAGACACCCAGGCCGATGGGGATGAGCGTGCTGCAGAGCGTCAGGGTCACAGCGCCCAGGGGGAGTAACTGAACCAGCGGGGTGTTGATCCAAGCCCGGCTGTAGATCCACAGGCAGAGGGGCATCAGGACCAGCGCCAGGAGCGTGGAGGAGATGGTCATGATGATGCTGCAGAAAAGGAAATGGGAAGTCAGACAGGGCTCGGCGCCAAAGCACCTGCCAGCCCTTTCCTTCCATGTTGGGGAGAGGGGAAGACAAGGGGACCGGAAATGCAGGGCTGAAGTCTGCAAGAACATCAGGAGCTCACAGAAGCCCACAGGAAACAAGAGGGCCCCAAGGCAAGACAAAGCAGCCACCACCGTGAGGCCTGGGTCTGGGTGGTTCTCAGAACAGGGCCATTCCCCTCCTTCATTTTCTTGTCCTCTTCCCAAGTACTGCGCACTGTTGGCCCTGGGTTCGACCCTGTCAGCGCGGGCGGATGCTACTTGTTGGATTAAGCGCAGAGATGCTGCGCTCTGGGTGAGATGCCCGTCTTCATTGGACCAAGGGCTCCAATTTGCTTTTGATGAGTTCGGGCCGAGACTTAGCTTTGGACTTCCCCGCTTCTCCGTGTGTACACAGCGGGCCCCTGGGCCAGAGGGTGCGGGGAGAAACCCCAGGATCTTCCAGCAGCTCCGTCCGGGCCCCCTCCCCCGGCCCGGCTCGGCCCTTCCTTCCCTGGCGCCTCGCCCCGGCCACCCGCGCCCCCTCTCCTCCCCGGTTCTGGACCCGGGGCCGTCGGCGCGGAGGGCGGGCGGGGGGGGGGGGCGTACCTGAGGTTCATGTCGCCGTCCACCAGCAGGGACATGAGGTTGGAGAGGTTGCCGCCGGGGCAGCACCCGCACAGGAGCACGGCCACGGCGGCCACCTCGTCCAGGCGGAGCATGAGCGCGAGCAGGAAGGCGAGCAGCGGCAGGAGGCCGAACTGGCAGAGCGCGGCCAGCAGCGCGCCCAGGGGCCGGCGGACGTGCGCGCCGAAGCGGTGGGCGTCCACGGTGCAGCCCAGGCCCAGCATGGTGATGCACAGCGCCGCGCCCACCAGCACGTTCAGCCCGTGGTTGAGCGGCGTGTCCCAGAACGGGGGGTCGTGGGGGGCCCAGGGCCGCGGGAACGGGGACGGGCCCGGGCCCGCCGCGCCGCCGCCCGCCCAGGCGCTGCTCGTCGGCTCGGGGACCGGCGTCGGGGTCGGGCTGGGACCGAGGCCGAAGCTGAGGCTGGGAGCCAGATCGATCCCGGGCCCCGGGCTGGGGGTGAGGACGAGCGGGAAGTCCGTGCCTGGGCTCGGGCTGCTGGCGTTGGGCTCCAGGGTGGCGTTGTCCGGCGGCAGAGAGGACGGGGCAAAGAGCAGGCTGGCGTTGTCCGAGCCGTCCATGATGCTGTCGGCGGTAGGCTCCGATCGGCCGCGCGCGCCTGGGTCCGTCTCCACCGCCTGTCTGTCCGCCGGTCCGTCTGTCTGTCTGCTGGTCTCTCTTGTCTCTGTCTGCCCGTCTGTCTGTCCGTCCGTCCGTCAGTTGGGGGCCGCTGACGTGCCGGGTCGCGTCAGAGAGGCAGGCAGATAGACTCTCCTGCTCCTCGCCTCCCAGGCTGGCACTTAGGAAAGTGCAGCCCCGCAAGGTGAAGCCGCCCCGCCCCGCACGCCCCGCCGGCCCCGCAGGCCCCTTCGGCCCCGCCCCTCCGAGCCCGCCCCGCCCCGCAGGCCCCTCTGGCCCCGCCCCTCCGAACCCGCCACGCCCCTCAGGCCCCTCTGGCCCCGCCCCTCCGAGCTCGCCCCGCCCCTCCTAGCTCGCCCCGCCCCACAGGCCCCGCCCCGTCGAGCCCGCCCCGCCGGCCCCGTCGGCCCCGCCCCTCCGAGCCCGCCCCGCCCCGCCGGCCCCGCCTGTTAATCACCGCTAAGTGGTTCTAGCTGAGCGCGCCAGCACCAGCGCCAGCCAGGAACAAAGACACGACCCGGCCAGCCAGGACACCCGCCTGGCGACCCTCCAAGCCCTCCGGTGGGCCCGGCCTCTTTTCCTTTTTAGTTAAAAAATATACATTTTCTAAGTCACACATGCACCTCGTACGTGAGGACCCACGTGGTGCTTGGATATTTCTGTGCACACGGTTTCGTGTTGCAATCAGGCTCCGTGCCCTCCCTTCAAACACGCATCGAGTCTTTATGACGACGACGTGCCTTCTTCTGGCTTCTGGAAATAGACAGTGCGCGTTAGTTATCTCCACTCGCCCTGCTGCTCAGAAGCACACCAGAACTCTGCCCCTTTCGTAATGAAATCTGGAGAAGCAGACACACGGAGGGGTGGGGCAAGGGCCGAGGAATGATCTATGCTTGCACACAAACCTGATACGTAAACAGCTTAAATAGCTTACATAGCCGGCAGCCTGGCATCAAGACCAGGGCCTGGCTTAATTACAGCCATTCTCTAGCAGCAGACACTGGATCTGACTTGTATTGGACAAAACATTTTTAATGATTTTTATGCTCTGTCTTAAAGTAGAAAGCAGTAATGAATGCTGGTGGTTTGATTGTCTCAGTAAAGCCATGGAGAGACACTACTGTTACACCCTCCACTCAAAAATAGATTTAAAAACCTGGTGCTGCTGGGGCTGGGAAGGTGGCTCAGTGGTAGAGAGCTTGAGTTCGATTCCTGAGCACCACATAAGAAAAGCCGGAAGTGGTGCTGTGGCTCAAGTGGTAGAGCGCTAGCTTTGAGCTGAAGAGCTGAGGGACAGCGCCCAGGCCCAGAGTTCAGACCCCACAACCGGACCAAAACAAAACAAAAAAACCTGATGCTGGTGGCTTATGCCTGTACTCCTCCCTGAGAGCTCCAGATAGTGGTTCAAAGCCAGCCCAGGCAGGAAAGGCTGTCAGACTCTTATCTCCAATTAACCACCAGAAAACCAGAAGTGGAGCTGTGGCTAAAAGTGGTAGAGTGCTATCCTTGAGCAAAAGGGCTCAGGGATAGCAACCAGTTCAAGTCCCATGACTGACCAAAAAGAAATGACCCAATTTTGACATATAGTAGTGGAATATATTTATGGGGCACACTGGGACATTTTAATAATACACACAATGCTAGTGACCCACTTCATCTCATATATTTACCATATTTGTGATTATGGGAACATATCACAGTGTTGGGAACATTCAAAATCGTCTCTACTTCTCTTTTGAAATATGCAATGATTTGTTGTCAGCCATTGCTATCCTACTGTGACAAGCTTGATTTGTTTTACAAAGGAGGAATCTGAGGCACAGGGACCTGTTGGCCTTATTGACCAAAACCACAGGTTCTTGTCTGAGTCTGCAGTGATACAGGTCCTTAGAAGCTTATTGAGGAGCTCAACTAAGAAAAGTCTCTGAGGAAAAAAAAAAAGTGCATTCAAGAAGGTATTGGCAGGTGAGGAGAAGATATTTGAGTGGCTACAGATTTATAAAGTGTTCTGAGTAAAGTGCTGGCATTGGGATTAAAGGACTCTAAATAAATGAAGTGCTGATATTCACTGGTTCAGACAGCTTTATCCCCAAACAAATCAAATTCAGACTTCTTAGGAAGGGATGCCTTCCCAGGGAACTGAGCTAGCTCTATAGAGTAACTGTAACATTAAACCCAGTTGAGTTGTGAAAACCGACATAGGGATGGCTGGGCTGAACTCAAGGCTCAGTTTTAGCTCAGGGTTAGTCTTTTTATTTTGTTTTTTGTTGATCATAGGGCATGAAGTCAGGCCTGGGCTCTTTTGCTCAAGACTAGCACTCTACCACTTTGAGCCACAGCACCATTTCCGGTTTTCTGGTGGTTAATTGAAGAGTCTCATGGACTTTCCTGCCTGGGTGGGCTTTGAACCGTGATCCTCAGATCTCATCCTTCTAAGTAGCTAGGATTACAAGCATTAGCCACAGGTGCCCAGCCCAGGGTTAGTCTTGAGCATAAACCCTGTTCCCTTTCCTGAAATCAAGGAGGGTTGGATGACATGCATTGCCTAATGGTGTAGAGCATTTGTATTTTCTCCTCCCAGTCTTGTGTAAAAGGCAGAGGATATGAAAAATGAGACTGAAATTCATACGATATTGCACTCTTAATCACACACAGCTTCTCTTCATTAGACTATTAATCCCATGGAGGCTGAGATTCCGCAACCATTTAGGAAAATAATGCATCCTTGTCTTCTCCAGAAGACAAAAATGCAATGGTATCTATTGAGCTTTGAAGGAAGTGGGCCATGATTAAAAAAAAAATTAATCCCAACTTTGCATTCATGTGTATGCAGATAAAAGGAAGATATTCAAACGTATAAGCAAACATGCTACCCAGGGTTTGTTTGTTTGTTTGTTTACCACAACTCCAGAGGAGGCATGAGGAGAAACAGACAAGAAACAGAGGAGACACTGCTATAGCTGGAGAACTAGTCTAAGGGCCTGGTTCCTAGAATGGCACAATTGAGAGTCTGTGGAACCTTTAAGAGGTGGGGCCTAGCGGGAGTTCTGTAGGTCATTGGTGGTGGTGGAATCCTAAGATCTTGACCCCCTTCATTCTCTTGTAATTCCTGGCCGTGAAGTAAACAGTTCCGCTGTACCATTTGTGCCAGCCATGATGTGTTATCTCAATACAGGGCCAAAGGCAACAAGGCAATCAATCATGGCCTAGAAACTGCCAAGTTATGAGCCAAATAAAACTGTTCTTGCTGAAGTTGATTATTTCAGTTGTTTTGTTATAGAGATAGAAAGTTGGCCAACACGAGACTTTTAAATGCTTGAAACCACAGGATCACACACCAAGAATACACACCAAGATCATTTGTGCATCATTGTGCACAAGACCATTTCCCTCAGAAAACCTCGTCTTGTGTTAAAGATATTAAAGTCTGCAATCAAATTAAATGAGCAGTAACTACAGGAGGCTGACTCATCCAACCAAGCTGGCTGGGGGATGTGGGGAGATGGGAGGGGGAGGACTTGAAAGGCAATGTGTACCACAGTGTGAGCACTGAAAACAGAAAGGGATGGTCTGGGATTGAAAATCATCAGGATTGGCCAGGCACAGGTGGCTCATGCCTGTAATCCTAGCTACTTAGAAGGCTGAGATCTGAGGCTGATGGTTCAAACTTAGCCCAGGCAAGAAAGTCTGTGAGACTTTTATTTCTAATTAACTACCAAAAAAGTTGGACCTTCTGGTTTTCTGGTGGTTAATTGGAGATCAGAGTCTCAGGGACTTTCCTACCTGGGCTGGCTTTGAACCACAATCCTCAGATCTCAGCCTCCTGAGTAGCTAGGATTACAGGTATGAGCCACCAGCGCCCGGCTCATTTTTATATATTAATAAGACCCAACATCATATTAAGAAAATATATTAAGTAGGTAAATGGCCTGGACCATCTGCTACTGATTTAACATCTTCCTAGGGAAGGGCTGGAGGCGTGGGTCACATGGTGTGTGCCTGGCCTCCCAAGTGCAAGGTCTTGAGTATAAATCCTAGTACTGCCCCCCCAAAAACAAGTTATAAAATTTTCTAGGCAGACACTGGTGGCTCACATTGTAATCCTAGCTACTTGGGAGGCTGAAGTCAGGAGGACCCTGATTAAAGGCTGGTTTGGAAAGAAAAGTTTGTGAGACTTCATCTCACAAGAAGTTGGAAGTGGTAGTACATGTTTATCATCCCAGGATCACAGTCCAGGTGCAGGCCCAGGAACAAAGCAAGAACATATCTAAAAAATACAAAAGGGCTGGAGGTGTGGCTCAGCTGTAGAGTACCTGCCTAGCAAGCATTGAGTCCCTGAATTCAAATGGCCATACCATTTCAGAAATAACAAAAGCCTGCTCAGGAATGTCTGGTTGAACTAGTGGACCAAGTAAAAGAGGTTACATTGAAGGAAGTACCACTGGTAGAGCTGCTAGATGTAGGGGAAAAAACCCACACACACAAAAAACAAAAAGAAAGAAATGCTTAGTTACATTTGAATTTCAGATAAGCAACAAATACGTTATTTAACATAAGATGTCTCCAATATTTCTTTGCCAATCTTATCTGGAGGCAGCTGATCATTAGAAAGTTGACATTTGAGGTTGTCTCAAAAGACTAAGATCTCTGTGCTAGTTATAATGAAGTTCAATTGCAAGAAATCTATTAGCTAGGCAAAGAGGAGGGACACAGGCTTGGACTAGAGATGCTTTCTGGGCACTGGTAAAGGCAGCCTGTGTTGAGGCCCTACCAGTGCTCTGAGGAATGCTGAGTTGGTCCTGCAGACATGCCTGTTGTTCACAGCTCAGGACATGCTCTTGTGCCCATGTTTAGTGAGGTAAAAATGTTTGCTTTAGGGTCAGAAAGGTGGCTCGGTGGTAGAGTGCTTGCCTAGCATGCATGAAGCCCTGGTACCATTCCT